GAAAAACCCAGGGTTCAAAATTCCCCTTGGATTTAATTTTTTCCCCCCCCCCCCCCTTTTTTTTAATAAAGAAAAATTGACTCCTCTTTAGTTAGTTAGTTTCAAGGAGTATTTCCCCTATAGTTTCAATTCCAAGCTTGAAAAGTCAGATTCACTGGTTTTCAACAGAAGACTCCACCGGGCAGTGACCAGTGCATCTCAGTGGAAGCGCAGAGAATTCCCAAGCACTCCACAAGTAAAGCACACCCTGGAGGATGCACCAGCCTCTGGACAATTGCTATTGATTTTTAGTGGGCTCCACAGTGGGAACCGAAACTAGAATTCAATATTCATCCTGTGCAGTACAAACATATACAAAAAAGAAAGCCCAAGTAATTCCAAGAGCATAGCACAGGCTTAACTCTGCATCTCTTACTCAGGGAAGCAGCTCAAAGTGTTCACCAAGACATCTTGCACTAAGTACTGTTCAGCAAGAAGAGAGACTGCAGATTTGAACCTGACTTTCTGTTGACTTCACTTCATTGGAGACCATCCAGAACCACCATGACTGCAATAGGCAGAACAAATTTCAAGATTTCCATCAACGGGAACAGCGCTAGTACCGTCAGACAACAATGTAGTTCGAAGCACTGCACAGCACAAACTTCGCTGAAGCACTATCATGCAAAGGCAGCAAGGAGCAGTTCTACATAATACCAGGCAGTATCGCATGCTGAAGACCCAGCGAGTAGAAGACACTTTGGTACAGTTTAGTCAGGCATAGCCAGCAAGGGGGGGAAGAGACAAGGCAAGTCACTCACACTCCATAGGAAAGCAGAGAGACACTGAAGTTGGTCAGAGCACTAGAGAAGGTTAAGGGACCATAGTGACAAGACTCAATGCCTCCATTTTCCTACAAAGCCACGGTAAGCCATAAAGACTTGGTCTTTATGTAGTCCATAGATGTCAGAGACCTCCTTGTCTCTACCCACCAGCAACCTCATTGACCATGCCTGATCAGAGTAGACCAAAACATCTGACTCACTTGGTCTTCAGCATGACTCTTGTTTCTCATACCCATCACTAGGCGTAATGGTACCGGTGGATAAAAAAGGCTTCCCAGGAAAATTTAAATAATTACAGGTATGCGAGTTGCGCACACGGAACATCCAGTGGTTGGTTGCAGCAGAGCATCTGCCTGCAAGGCCTCCCCCACATTTCAAACCATACAAAACATCCCAGCTCGGACATTCCTCTGCAGGATCACGACTTCATGAGCTTTGTTGGTTCATCAGTTCATGTATCTTAGCATTCCCTCCATTCTTATTCTCCAGTAGTACAGGCGTCTTTTCTTATCATGATTAAAAGCCTTTCACCGTAGTTACAAACACAGGCTATTTGATTCTGCATGCTACAGAAAACTTTTTTTTAAGCCCACAAGCAACTGGTGCTGAGAGACGCTGGAGAACAAGACTGGTTTATTCTATTCTCAATGCTTTCAAAACGTTACAATCAGCTACCTGCCCACCTGCCACCTCCACTCCCTGCCTTCAGATACTGCAGGTTCTGGTTCTAGGACAGCAGGAGTTTCTGATTTTAGGAGGACTACATAAACACATATAGAAAAGATCAACTATTTTCACCCCCTTCCTGCAGGACTGTAACAAAACAGTCCTGGTAGGACTGTTACAGCCAAAATACAATTAAAAAAGAAAGACTATCACAAAGAGTACCCTCAAATTTTGAGGAAACCCAAATCAACGGGAATGAGATTCTACAGAAAAAAACTCTTCTTTCCACATTTTTAATTAGGAGTAAACATTGTACATGGGAACACATATACTGTTACTATTTGGAGATTTCCCCAGATGAAATTCAGGAATATTTCACTGTAACTGCTTTATATTAATAAAGGCATTCATTCTACAGTTTCAAGATTCACTCTCATTTATGTTTCTTCACTTAGTGAGGACAGGAACTTGGTCACTGTAGTAAAGCGTTTGTTTTCATACCATAAAAATGCCAAACCTAAAAAAACAAACCCCTATATTTGTACAGGCCTCTCAGGTGATTAATATTTTTACTTACCAGAATGCAAAAAGTAATTCCCCCATTGCTCGCACTGATGATACGCCTCACACTGTGCGATTTCATTTTCATGATGAGGAAATGCAAGATCTATTCCACCAGTATGGATGTCCAGCTGCTTTCCAAACACTGCACTGTAACAATATTTTCCTGATTGGTAAGTAGAACACTACAAAAGCTTTTGCAAAAGAAATGCAGAAAAGCATAAGATGAAACATCATAAATTTAAGTGTACAATTTAATGATTGCAGTTTTAAAACAAGACTTTACACAGATCTTGGATACCAAAACTGCAGCAGAACTTGTATGGACAGGACCCATATCTGCCCGCAATTAATTCTTAGTAGGAGCAATTATTTTTCTAACTTAGATTAAAGAATGGCAAGCAGGATGTCTCCTTTCCTTGTTCTGCTACAGGTTCAGTATCAGACAGCTGCCTTCATCTGCAAACATAACAACTTTGAAGTGATGATCATTTCTGTAAATTTGGTATTACTGTTCTTTATCGTGTACCTTTTCTGTAAGAATTCAGGCAATACTGTATGCAGTCACGATAGAAAATGCTTCGTCCTATATTACTATAATGTTAAAAGAAAGTGTCAATGCCTCTGATCTCCCAAGGCCACTCCTCTCGTCTGCATTCAGCTGCATCTGTGCAGGTCACCCACAGGCTTGCATGGCACAGGCATCTCTGCAAACACTGGTGGCTGGAAGTAAGGTATTCATGCGGCAATGGGACAGACCTAGACACTTTCTGATTAAACACCAGGAGTCAAGGCTGCTACACTCTGTCCACCGCTCCAACAAGTCCCTCCTAGGTCACGCTGGGCAAGTTAATAACTTCATTTTGCCCATCTGTTAAACAAAGACAACACTTAACTACTCACAGGGAGTTAAATCAACACTAGCTGCCCAGAAACCAGGGACACTCAAGCTGAGGAAGATGCAAGGCCTACAGAAGTAGAAAATAAAAGGCAAGCCACATACACGCGTGCGTACACACAGACACACACAGTCTTTCCATATGTCACATTAACAAGTTGGTCCTGGTAGCTGGCTAGATATTAACCCTTTTGTCCCTTTTTGAGACAAAACACCCTGGCTGACTCTGCAGAAGCAGCTGGGGCACAGGAAGAAAAGAAAATAAGGAGAAGAGAGGAGGGAAGAAAGACCAGCTGCTGCCATTTCCCAAGCTCGTGCCCCTCTGCTTCCTCCTGTCTGCTCCAGAACCAGCTCAAGCACAGATCGTCACAGCAGTGGCCCTGGCTTATGCCTTCCCTTGTGCCGCCTACAGAGGAGCACTGGCCACTTGCCCTTTCCTCCAACAAACCCATTAAGAGCCGGGGGAGAGCCGGATCTGCAGACTGCCCAGGGGCGGGAGGAGCAGCCCATCCCACCGCAAGGGAACCTCCAGAGAGAGGTCAGACCTCAGTGACAGCAGGCAGTTCCCTCCTCCAGGGCTCCCTCAGAGACCAACACCCTTCTCATTCACCTTCCCCGGGCACGCTCCAAAAACTTCTCAAAACTGGTTCACCCAGCTTCCTTAAAGTGCTCTGAAATCTTTGGCAAAACTGACAGGTAAGTAGGTATTGCTTAAAATGGGCCTCGGACAGCTGACGGGGACAGCAAAACATTTTAGGGAACTTACCAAAATAAGCTCTCCGTTTTCCACAGTCCAAGATTACTACACTTATGCACTGCATGGGTCAACTCTTATTTACATGGCAGGAGCCTCATCCAGTGCAGTAAAACAAGTGTTTACAGAAAGAAATGCAGACTATAAACAACGCTGCATTAGCAGACAAGCCATTTTGTAATTGGCATTTCTTACCTGTGCACTTCTGTCACAGGTTGCACTTCAAATACAGCATGTTTTTGTGCACTTCAGTTGCTCTAAGAACCATTTCACAGTGCTGAAACTATTTACAGACAGAAAATCACCCTTATAAATGCTTTTCACAATCAGGTAGTAATGACTAGCAACCCCAGGTGCACCAGCAAAGCATATGAAAGGCAAACCTGAAGTACCTATTCCATCTACTTTCAGCTTGGGTTGAAAACTTAAGTTAAACAGGGCCAGATCTAAATAATTTGTTATTAGCTTCCTAAAAAAGAACTGAGACTAATGCAAAACTAAGTACCACTATAAATCATCTCTCCTGGAAGGCTGAAAGTCTCTTTTTTTAAAATACAAATTAATAGGTCATAAGTTAATACAGTGCAGGACAAAATACTACCATCCTGTGGAGAAAATAAAACTCCAAATTAAGAGCAAATTAATTTAAAGCAACTACAAGCAAAACGCTACTACACACAATTCACACCATGCCCACAGAATATACTGCCACAGAGAAATCAGAATATTTAATATTGTGGCTGACTTTTAAAGAAAGCTGAATAACGCTTAGATGATTAGCAAGAACATCTTAACTGCTGTTAAGATAAGGCCAGCAGGATCTCATACGCTCGCTGGAGTCGGGATGGAATCCCATACCCTGTCCTGACACAGCACTACATGCTGAACTAGGTCCCATGGAGACGGCAAGAAGGGGAAGGGAGGCAAATGAAAGAGGTACCATAACTTTCACTAAAACTTTGGTTACTTAGTTCAAGTTAAAAGACCTGCTAATCAACTGTGTGATCCTGCACAGCATACTTTAAATACCTAAGTCTGTCTCAAGAGAAGGTGCAAAAACATAGCAAGACAGCTACGCTATTAAGGTGGAGCAGAGTTTGTTTGGGCCACACGTGACATCCCAAATTGCACAAAGTATTCACATTGAAACTGATGCTTTCTACTGATCAGAAAAAAAACCACTTTCAATACTGCTGGTACCATTGTACTGTGACTGAAAACAAAAACCAGCACTAGATTTAAAATCCAAGAAATCTGACCTTGATATTGTGGAACACTCAATGTGCCATCCAGGTCTTCCTTTTCCCCAGGGAGAAGTCCAAGATGGCTCTTGAGGTTTGGCAGCCTTCCACAGGGCAAAATCTTTACCATGTCGTTTATCAGTATCAGCTGCCAAGAATAAGTCATTTGTTAATGGGATATGTCTCAAATTTAAAAAATGAGCAAATGAAAGCAAATCAAAATGCATGTTTAGTGAACTACTCAGATCTTAATCTCTTTCGCTCAACTTCTTTTCCTGCAACTTTCCTCCCTTCCCTCTTATACAGGGTTTCCAGTTTCTCAATCAAGCATTTGAAAAAAAAAAATAGTATCTTGAATTAGATGTCTGCAGGCTAAAAAGATGGATTCAAGATTCCTTAATACACCCTATCCTTTTAGTCCTTTCGGCCTTCTCTGGTTTTACACCATTCATTTAGTTACTTATCAGCCAGTTTCCCAGGACAAACAGATTGCACCTCAGCAGAAAAGGTTAACAAAAACAACCCAAACCAACACCCACAAACAAAAAAAAAAAAACCCACATTTTTTTCTCTGGGACACAAATAGTTTCTGGTTCAGATTCTATAAAACCAAGAAGAGCATGGAGATGAGAATCAAAACTATTCTTGGACAGTAGCAACCTTCCAGTATCATTTTCACCAATGGCTTCTCTACAAAGGTCTCCTCCCCAGCTGTATTTGTTGCTTCCTTCACTACACAGCCGAGGATGCAGTCCTTTTTGCCATAGCACCACAGAGGATGGTTCACCTCTGCTGGCTCCTAACCCCGGGCTGGATACACACAGCTCCCCGGCAGGAGCTACGGAACAGGGTTCTGGACTCTGTATTTTTTTGCTGACAAATACACGACCTTGCATTGGACTGATGCAGAACAATGTACCTATTTGGCTTGAAGGGATCCAGCTTGGCCAGCAACTCGCACTGTTTTAAGTTCCCTTATTTAACGCCGCTCATCTGTTTTATCAGCAGTTGATGCTAGATTTACTTCTTTCCTCTACTTATTTCAGATCGCTAACAAAACCACAGTGTATCACTGGGTCTGAACCAATCCCTGGAGCATTCCAGTACCAACACATTTTAATGATGATTCACAGCTATTTTTGGAGATCTACTAGATGGTCATTTTTCTTGAGCCATTCCGCTTGTACTTTATTGATATTATACAGAGTCAGTTTTTATTCAGATGATCATGCAATATTAAGGGAAGCACATTACAAAAATCCATTACACCTGGTTCATCATTCAAAATTGATAAGAAATAAGAGGACAGAAATATAACCTTAGTTTTATCCACTGAATCTTCATCTTGGCTGTTTCACTAGTTTGTCAAGCTCTGGATGACCAGTATCTGTTGACTCCATCCCTCTTGCCTTTTTTTGAGTATACTGCTACAAAAAGGCACTCTTCACCTTCTCTAGTTATAAGCAAAACACTAGTCAAAATCTTTAGAAGTAACAGTAAATTTAGTTTTAAGTGACTTGAGGGGAAAGATGGTATAACACAGAATCAGTCACGGTTGAGGCTGGAAGGCACCTCTGGAGATCATCTAGTCCAACCCCTGCTCAGAGCAGGCTCAGCTACAGCAGGCTGCCCAGGACTGTCCCCCGTCGGGTTTTGAGTATCTCCAAGGATGGAGACTCCACAGCCTCTCTGGGCAATATGTTCTTGTGTTAACCATCCTCAGAGTGAAAAAAGGTTTTTATTAGGTTTAAATGGAATTCCCCATGTTTCAGGTTGTGCCCATTGCCTCTTGTCCTGTCACCAAGCACCACTGAGAAGAGCCTGGCTCCATCTTCTTTACTCCCCCATCAGATATTTGTTCACATGGGTAAGATGCCCCGAGCCTTGTCTTCTCCAGGCTGAGCAGTCCCAGCTCTCTCAGCCCTTCCTCATATGAAAGATGCTCCAGTACCTTCACTGTATTTGTGGCCCTTTGCTGGGCTCTCTCCAGTATGCCCATGTCTCTCTTGTACTGGGGAGCCCAGCACTGGACCCAGCACTCCAGGCATGTCTCACCTCATGCTGAGCAGAGAGGAAGGATCACCTCCCTTGACCTGCTGGCAATGCTCTTCCTAATGCAGCCCAGGAGGCTGATGGCTGCCTCTGCAGTCAGTAACTGCCTCTAAATAACTGTCGAGAAAACACATTCCCTCTGCGAGTTGTAATGCTGAAATAACTCCAGAGTAGAGCTGTGAGAAGTTTCTGGCTGCAATTCACCTGAGCATCAGTCTGCCAGGCATTTTCAGTAATTGAAAACAGATTTGTTTCAATGAAGAAATACTGAACTTCAGCATGCAAACGATGCAGGAGACCTGCATCAAATTCTCCAGTGGAGAGACCTGATCAGACCCAACTTACTGAAACTACAGAGCGGCTCAGCAATCCTGCTCAGCAGCTGGACAACCGCAGCAAAAAAACACCCAGCCAAGGGTACAGACATGCTCCAGCACAGCCTATCAAGAGATTTCTCACCCTCACACAAGCAAGCTGCTTAGCAGTAGTCCAGTGGTAAGTAATGAAAAAACCAAATTCATCTGGTTAGCACACATCAGAAGGGTGCAACTACCCAAACAACAACATGGTAGATGACGTTTCCCTGCATTTACCCTTGACTGTCTCACTGCTGGCTAGTGCAACAGCTGAGACCACCACCTCACTATGAAGTTTGTATGTACCGCTCCCAAGTATTTAAATAAAATGAAGAATCTTAATTGTTCTAGGGTACCAGAAGAAAGGTATAAAGAGAACCAAGTATGAAAAGAGACCACCAAGTTTCCTCTCGCACTGGCAATAGTGAGTGCCTCAATAAATAATTAAAAAAGAAAAAAAAAATGAGGTCTTAATCAACCAAAAAGCTGGTTATACACAACAGGTTAGAAAGCTGTTTCAGACTGTTGAACGAAGGTTTATGCATAGATACATCACGAGTTCAGACAATGCATTAATACAAACAAGTTGGTGTCATGAACATACCTGCTTCATCTTGAGTATCAGGATAAATAGTAGTTAATACTCCGTATCTTTTTCCCCAAGACTTAACATCAAAATAAACATTGCCTAATAGAAAAGAAACGTTTAGTTTTATAGCAAAGATGGGACACATTCACGATGAAGAGGGAACACTTCCCCGCAAGCAAAACAAAACAAAATGCCCTTCAACTCCCATTTGAATTTCTGATTTATAAATTCAGAAATACTGCAAAAGTAGCAGCACGTTTTCACATTACCAGCTTTTCAGTAACCTCACTGCATGCGCTCATTCTGCACATAGGATAACTTTGTATTCTGGAGATCTCCCAAGGTTCTTCCCTGCCCATGCACAATCAACAATCCCCTCTCTGACTGAAATGTAGCCTACTGCTACTCCAGTTATAATGCACTCGAATGCTTCTACAACCGTCAGCTCCGCTAAAAAAAGATCCACACATTGTGCTTTGCAGGCACATCTTTTACAGCACCTCCTGTTTAGAGCTAAGAGTTCCCCCAACTCTCTTGTAGAAGCCAGGCCAGGACTTTACCACAGGAGCTTAGTTAGCTCAGTTCATTACAGTAAACAATTACATTAAGTAATGAGCTACATTTAACTTAGAAATTGAGTAATAGTTGTTCTGCCCACTCATGTCATTGCAAACGAGTTGCTCACACCTTGTCTGTTAATCAACAGAAGGAAAGCCTGGCACAGGGTATCTCATCTGATCCCAACACAGGATTACTACGAGCACTGATTTCCTGTACGTGTGCTGAACAAGGAGGTGCCTTGCTATAAGTCTTACCTTGCGAGGTTGCGTAAGCTTGTCCACTAGCAATTATTGTTTTTATAAAAGAAATTATCTGAGGAATATTGTCAGTCACTCTCATATATACTGTAGGAGGAAGGACCTTAAACAAAGAAAGAGTAACATCTCATTAGCCTGTATGAAACACACTGCTGACAAGTCCCTTCACTCTAAGAAACAAATTTTAAAGAACATTCTCCTCAAATTTATCTTTCAAAAAAAAAAAAGTTGCAAGTGTCATAAAAAGGTCATAATCGGCATTTAAGATAATACACACCACAAAAAAACAAAATTTGAGGGGTGGTAAGAAATCCACTCATTTTTCCCAGTGCCTTACTCCCTGCTTCTGACAAGTATTCTGGACAAGAAGCAATGACACCTGAAGTTGATGAAAGAATATCTGATGTTTCATATGCTTTAGATCAGGCTATTTCTGCATTATAGTAAATATGTATTTTCTGTGAACCAAGGCTCTACTGCATGGTTAAAAAAAAAAAAAAAAAAAAAGGAAAAATCTGTGTTCCTAAAGAAATTTAACTTCATTCCAAATCTAGGGTTTGCTTCTCCCCCCGCTTCCTTACTCAAAAGGTGTGCAATATCTTCCCAGAAGAATGAAAAAGTAAATCAGTACTCAGTTTCCAAACAACAGTGTGACACAAGCAATCAATTTAGTTTTTCAGATCAAACTGTCAAAATCAGATTCCTTACCAAAATAGTTGCTTTAAAATACTCTTAAGTTTAGAAGCTCAAGTATCCGTACCTTTAAGGCAGCCATATCTTGTTTAAAGTCTTCTTCATAAATACGAGCAAGAGCTACCGGCGATATATTCATCTGAAAAAGAGAGAAGCAGATTAGTAAATCATAAATCAAAGTAATAATATAAAATATTGCAATCTTTTATCAGACAGTTATTAGCTAATTGGAAGACTTAACAAGCCCCCAAGGTAGAGTCAGAAAGGCTATTAATCCAACATTCATGGGGAAGAGATGCAAGTTATAAATAACTTAATAGTATTTCATTTATGCTTCTGAATTACCAAAATATTAATACATATCTTTCAAGAGAAAGCAACCAAATATTAAAATAACAAACTCCTTCCCTCCCTTGTTATTTTCCTCTTGAGAGGGTCTTCCACTTCCAGTGACAAGATATACGACAGTACACGGGACATGAAATTCATTCAGCTTATTGGCAGGGGACACCAATACCACCTACATGTCAGAAAGACAGATCAGAGACTTGCAGGATGAGACAGGATATTAATTTTCAGTGATTAAGAAAAATAAGCTATTTCAGCTGATCATGGTTACTCATAGATCTCCATACAATCAGGGGAAATGAACTGAAAGTCAGTCCCATGCTTTGCCAAGTGCGGCACTTCTCAAGTACCTTCTCCTCATTTCTCATTCACAGGGTGACAGACAGGAATAGGGATCATCGCAGACGGAATGAGAAAGTGCAACCAGAAAAGAAAGAGACAACTTGCACATGACAAGATACTCGTTCTCAAATATTCAGAAGAGGCCAGGGCTTGAAAGCTTCATGACAGCAAAACCTGCCCTGGCAAGCAAAAGCATGATATCAAAGTGTTTCAAATGCAAGCTTTTACATCTTCTCTGAGGAGAGCCTACTGGGGAGAAGACAACATACCATCAGTCTCTCCAGCTTGCAGAATAAATAAATCCAGTTTCAGCACTTCCAATTCATTACTGGAGCATCTTTAAGGGGTCTGATTTTCGGAGCACAGGTGGTTACCACTATTCGGACAAGCTCCTGGACAAGGCAGGAGTTCTGGTGAAGACAGATCAGATGCTCATCCAGCAATGAAACAAGGAAGATGCTCAGCACTGAGAAGGCACGTTTCTGCCTACAGACCAGAGAGAGTGTTCTTCCAGACCCCAGGGACAGGACTCATCTCCTTAGACAGCTCAGCTGCTTCTTCAGTCAACAGAGAGACAAGGGTGCCTATAGGAAGAAGATGGGGAAATTCCTCCTGTCCAGACAGATGTTCAAAACACAGAGAGACCCATCTCTCTCTCAAAGGACCACTGAGGGCATGCAGCACGCTCATCGTAGACCAGATGCCCAAATTTCAGGTTTCCTCTAGATGAATCCCACCAAAGGATGGAGAACAAGCTTAGACATGTTGATCCTACCACTGTAATGCTTCAGGTACAGAGGTTGCAAAAACAAAATCAGGCTACTGAGGTAGCCTGATCCAAACAGAACATGCAGAGCAGAGCAGGCATTTCAAAAAGTCACAAAAAAAGCCATGAAAAGATTACTTCACAGAACCAAAGAATGCAGTAAATGAACATTAATTCTTTTAAAACATCATGTCATTTCCCCCTCCTCAAACAGAAATTCTCCATAATGTTCTGACAACAAGGAAAAATTTTAAAATGCACACATATAGATTTAAAATGCCTGGGGTTTTTTGGGTTTTGTTTGTTTGTTAGTTTAAAGATGGCCTACTGCCTTAGAAAACTGCAAGTAAATGGACTAAGGGAACACACATGTATTTCCACAGGAGCAGCATGCTAGTATTCATTTGAATGCAGTGCCCTATATTTAACTGCAATAGTAACTGTTTACTTAAAGATTAAATAAAAGTGACAGCTGTCAAATTCTCTGGCTCCAAGAAATTAGCTTAAAGCTCACAGCTGCAATTTGATCCAACACATTCATCTATGATCCAGACGACATGAGTTACAGATTCTAAAAACAGAACGAAACAAAAAATTCAAAACGCAGAACACAGAATATATTCTTAGCATTTCAGGGTCCAAAAAGCATTTCAAAAAAAGAAAAAAAAAAAAGGAAAATAATCGGAATAATCATTCACCAAGCTCAGCTGGTAAAAAAGATCTGATTAAAATCCAACTGAGAACCACTTATAGCCCCAGTCTTGTCAAGACTTACCCCTACACACAATGTCAACTTTCATGCAGGTAACCAACTCGGACAAGACTGGTGAAGCTTTCCAAGGCACTGATGTTGCAGCTAGATGGTGCTCAGCACCTTTCAGGAACCACTCTCAGCCTCGCATGTGGTAATGCTATATATACTACCTTTAATCATCAACAGCACACAACGCTTCTCCAGAACACAGCCAGAAAGCCTACTGGCTGCTAAGTTTTGGGTTGCTTTTGGAATACAATACTTTCCAATTGTGCTGAGGATTCACCCTGGCTTTTTGTTGCCCACCGGCCTCCCAGGGAGGAGGTGAGAGCAGGAGGATGCCGGCCGGGGGTGCTGTAAGGCAGCTCTCCCTGCCTCCCCCCCTCACACAACTCTGCACCCATTTACCTCCACGCAGCTCTCAACTCCCAGCCCTCCGGACTCCCAGCCCCATTACAGCCATGCTAGGGGACCAGAAATCTCAACATTTATTATCTACTAATTAAAACAAATGAAACTCGACAAAAAACCCAAACCCAGGTTAGTTTTCCTACGTTAACAGCTGTAGAAAATAGCAAAAGTTTGGGTCAAAGACTGCAGCAAACACCTACCTCGTTGGCTCTTTTTATTATCTTGTCATCTATGTCTGTGATCCCCATCACCATGATAACTTCAATTCCAAAAAACCTAGTCATTATCCTTCGAATTATATCAAACCTAACATAGGAGCTGGAAGAGAAAAAACATGAGCTTTTAAACATGCAGTAGTAAGAATAAACTTAAACAAACAAACAAACCCCAACAGCACTAACAGCCACAGGGACAATCTAAATACCCCAACACTTGCAATGAAAAGGTCTTCAGTACATCATAAAGTGCTTTTCCAAAACCAGTTACCACCTGCACAAAAGTCAAACACATTTCCCTTGAACTGGCCTACCCTCTTCTGGCATTAGTGACACATTACATCAAATTTTCTGAGTGTTTTCTTTTGTTGCATCTCTTTATTCAAGCACTGAAGTGCATCGGAAACTACGCGTGAGCCAGGAGACTCTCTCAAAGCAAACAGTACAAAGACACACAGATCAGATATTCTTGAAATACAGCCCTCAGGCTTTGTATATTCTAACAGGTTTTCAAAAGCCACGTAGCAGAAGAACAGGGAGAAATAAAACAGGGTTCAAATGAACTTTGCTTAGGGTTGAGTAACAACTACAGCTACCAGCCACCAATAAACTATTTCATTCACTCACCACCACATATCTTTTCTGATAGCAAAGAGCTACTCTGTGGGTTATTTTGTTTTATTTACACTCGAGAATAAATTCTCAAAATTATTCAGGGTCTTTATCACAAAACAGAGTATTTAATGCTCATAGACTGATGTACCTACAAGCCGTACAGGGCTGCAGCAGCCCCTTCTGCCGCTCTCAGACTCTCCACTTGTAATTCTCAAAACACGCTTTGACTGAGTAAAACCCAAACATTAGGTGAGATATTAGAAGGTGAAGGGCTCTGGGTCTGCCCTGCAAGGTGATGAGAATCATAGAATCGTTGAGGTTGGAAAAGACCTTTAAGATCATCGAGTCCAACCATTAACCTATCACTGCCAAGTCCACCACTAAACCATGTCCTCAAGCACCACGTCTGCCCATCTTTTAAATGCCCCCAGGGATGGAGACTCAACCACTTCCCTGGGCAGCCTGTTCCAGTGCCTGACTACCCTTTCGGTGAAGAAGTTTTTCCT